GGCGGAGGCGGAGAAGGAAGGCGGAGGAGGAAGGCGGAGGAAGGCAGAGGAGGAGGAGGAGGAGGAGGAGGAGGAGGAGGAGGAGGAGGAGGCGGAGGAGCTCGGCATCTGGAGGGCCCCTCGCCGGGCCCCCGGGGCCGCCCGGCGGAGCGTCTCGGGATCGAGACGCGGAGCCCCGCAACGGGCCCATGGCCTTCGGGGAGCCGCGCCGCGGACACGACCGCGGCGCCGGGGATGTCTGGGAAGAAGACTGGGGGACCGTAAAAGGGGCACAGGGGCACACAAACGAATAGACGCAAGCCCCAGGACCCCCCATATCTTCCAAGGTCTTCGGGGGTTCCGTCCTCCCCCCCAACTTCCCACATTCTCCCACACTTTATGGGAGTCGCCGATCAAGAATGCCTGTGTGTCGTTTTCCCTCTTGGGGCAGGAGGACCTGACGCCTGGCGACTCGCCGCCGACGGCGGCCGCTGCGGGGACGCCGGCGGCGGCGGCAGCAAATGGCACCGGCGGCGGCAGCGAGGACGACGGCCGGGCCCAAGCTGCGCAGAGGGTCGGTCCCTGGACCCCCCTCTTGTGGTGCCGCTGGGAGTGCTCCTGGGCCCAAAGTGCCCCCAGGACTTCCCAGGAGGCCCCCACGGCCTCCATGGAACACCCCATCACGGGGCCCAGAGGGCCCCAGGGGCTCCAGGATGGAGCGATACGCTGGGCGCACCTTGGGCCACGGGCACCTTTGGCGACCCCCGACTCTGCAGGGGTGCAAGGACCTTGGACGCACATTTCAAAGTTTTTTCGAACGGGGCGCGGACAACGAAAGCGGCCAAGGATGGGCCGAGGAGGCCAGGATGCAAATGTAACCCCTGGCAAGGGCCCATCTTTCTTATGGGGGCTCACTGTAGAGCGAAAGGCTGGGGGCACCTTGGGCCAGGGGCACCTGTGGCGACCCCCGACACTCCAGGGGCCCAAACCTATAACTTTTCCTATATATCCCCCAGGCGATCTCTGCGCGGCCCCTCGCGCTCGACGGCGCGGCGAAACCGAGGTGCAGGCCACTGACTCGGAACGACCGCGCTGGCCAAGTGTCCCTGCTGCCCCGCCGCGGCCCCAAAAGCTCCTGGCCCCTCCCGCACGGGTAATTACAGTCGACCCGTAGCATTAGGGTGCGCGGTAGGGATGTAAGTCTCTTGAACGCACATGCCGAAGCTTTTCGAACGGGGTGCGGCCAACGAAAGTGGCCAAGGATGGGCCGAGGAGGCAAGGATGCAAGGGTAGCCTTGCGAAGGGTGCCCATCCTTCTTGACTGTAAGGCGAAAGGCTGGGGGCACCTTGAGCCAGGGGCACCTTTGGCGACCCCCGACTCTCCTGGGGCCCACCCCCAGGCCGGGTAGCTCTTCCAACATATCCCCCGGGCGATGTTTGCGCGGCCCTTCGAACTCGGCGGCGCGGCGACCCCGAGGTGCAGGCCACAGACTCGGAACGACCGCGCTGGCCAAGTGTCTCTGCTGTCAGACCGCGGCCCCGAAAGTTCCCGGCCCCTCCCACGCGAGTCGACCCGTAGCAGAAGGGTGCGCGGTCGGCGGTAAGGATGCAAGTCCCTTGAACGCCCATGTGGAAGCTTTTCGAAAAGGAGCGCGGCCAACGAAAGCGGGCAAGGATGGGCCGAGGAGGCAAGGATGCAAGGGTAACCCTTGGGGAGGGTGCCCATCCTTCCTATGCGGATTGACTGTAAGGCGAAAGGCTGGGGGCACCTTGGGCCAGGGGCACCTTTAGTAACCCCCGAATCTCCAGATGTGTGTGAGGGATCAGCGAGCAAGACAGCCAGTCAGCATATACCCACCCCCTGTGGACTGGCGCCTGCACAGGGCACTCGGCCGCAGGACACTCCACAGAGGTGCGTGCGCCTTGAGGGTCACGCACGGAGAGGTGAAGGAAGAGGACAACTGCGGGTGTCCCCACCGGCATGGCCTGAGAAATCCTCCACACCAGGGGCCCACCCCGAGGCAGGGGTGGATCTCCCAAAACATCTCCCGGGCGATCTCTGCACGGCCCCTCGGGGGCGCGGCCATCCCGTGCCAGGCCTAAGACTCTGAACGACCGCTCTGGCCAAAGCTCTGCTTGCAGGCCGCGGCCCCGAGAGCTCCCGGCCCCTTCCACGCGGGTAGTTTTCCGCCAGCCTGCACGGGTCCGAGTTTGATCGCCCCCGGGGCCCGAAGTAAAGGAACAGCCTGCGATGGACAAGCTCGTATCGCGTCGGAGATCAGAGGGGTGCCCGCGGCGGACGGGGCCTTCCGCCAGTCCAGCCGCCCAGAGGAGTCGTGCCAGTTGGCCACGTTGAGGCACCCGGCCGGAGCCCGCGCCATCCCTGCGCGGCGAGCGACGACGGACGCCGCCGCCGCCGCCGCCGGCGGCTACGACGATGACGACGACGACGACGACGACGACGACGACGACGACGACGACGGCGACGGCGACGACAACGACAACGACGACGACGACGACGACGACGACGACGACGAAGACGACGACGACGGCGGCGGCGGCGGCGGCGGCGGCGGCGGCGACGTCAACGGCGGCGGCGGCGAGGGCCGTGGCGGCGGCGGCGAGGGCTGCGCACGCGGAGCAGCTCGCCTATGCGCGCACGGGCCGCGCTCCCGGGAGGGCTTCCTGGGCGGCCAGTGCTGGGATGACCGTGGGGGTTTCTAAGTGAAAGGGGGGTTACAAGTGGATGCCAAGGTGGGTTATATCTGGCCCGACCTGGCTTACAAGTGGGTTACAAGCGCCCAGAATGGCTTAGGGGGTTAGATAACTCTGCTAAGTGGGCGGAGCCCACTTAGCCTGGATCGTTAACCCCCCCAAGCTACTTAGGGCACTTGTAACCCACTTCTAAGCCAGGTTGGGCCAAATATAATCCACCTTGACATCCACTTGTAATCCCCCTATCCACTTAATAACCCCCACGGTCATCCCTGTGGGGCGCCGCGAGGCTTTCGTGACAGCCCGGGAGGCCCCCCAGGGACGGCCCAAAGGGGGCCCCGAGCACCGGATCGATCCCTCGAGACGCCCAGGATGGCCTCAAGACGGCGCCATGGGCTTCCAGGGCGCCCCGAGAGGCCTCCAAGAGGCCTCCCAACAGGGCCCACAAAGGCATGCATGATTGATTTTCCTTGCTTGCGGTTTGAAAGATGTTGGCGTTCTCGCCTGTTCGGCTTTCCGACGCTGCAAGACGGCCTAAGAGGACCCCAAGACCACCCCAAAACGGCCCAAGAAGCCTCCAAGAGGGCCACAAGACGGCCTAAGAGCGCCCCAAGACGGCCTAAGAAGCGCCCAAGATGGCCCAAGAAGGCCCCAAGACGGCCCCCAATTAAGGGAGCCCCAGAGAGAGAACACGAACAGAAAATCCAAACCTTCCTTCCGCCCCAAGAGGCCCCAAGGAGAGGCCCCAAGAGGCGCCCAAGAGGCCCCCAAGAGGCCCAAAGAGGCCCCCAAGAGGCCCCACAACAGCCCCAAAGAGGCTTCACGACTGCCTCCAAGAGACCCCCGAGAGGCCTCCCACGAGGTTCCAACGAACATCCACTAGGCTCATAACCCACAGCCCAGGCACGACGGCGGGACTTGCCGTAGGCAGCTGGACATGTTAGGATTTTCCTGTTCCCCTCCACTTCAACTTCAAACATGTTCCCCGCATGTTCCTGGAAGTCAACATTGGCTCCTGTGGAGGTCCGCGCGCGGATCTCTCGGATCGGCGCTGGACCCCCCCTCCCTGGCGCGCGGAGCGCGCCAAGGGCGGCGCTGCAGGCGCCGCCAAGGGGGTCCAGCGCCAATCCGAGAAATCCGCACGGACCTCCGAGTTTTTATATCTTAATACCGGGTCGGGCGAAAGGGGGGGATAGCAAAGGGGTGGTTTGAGAATCAGCTCACGTTGCTGATTTTCCCGGCGCCCATGTATCGAGGAATGGGCCCCTCGGTGAGGCCGAAACCAGCTGCATGCAGAAAATTTCGTAACCCCCCCTTTCCCAATCCCCCCTTTCGTAAAATCTTCACTGACCTTGCGACTGGGACCCAAATCCAAAAACAGGGCCTGCAATGGTGCTGCCACCGATCGCCCTCCCGGGACGGAGGCCCCCCCTCAGAGGCCTCCGAGCCGGGCGGCCCGACGAGAGAGGGGGCCGGCGGCGGACACGCCTCCGAGCTCTGGTCCCCCGCGATCCCCGGCGTAGCCACTCTGTCACACTCCTCCTCCTCCTCCTCCTCCTCCTCCTCCTCCTCCTCCTCCTCCTCCTCCTCCTCCTCGAGGAGGAGGAGGAGGAGGAGGAGGAGGAGGAGGAGGAGGCTCATGTTGCTCCCATCGAACTTGAGGACCGCATCCCAGAAAGAATGTCGAGCACCCAGGGAAAGTGTCGACAAGGTGTCGAGCCAGTGTCGAGCCAGTGTCGAGCGAGCGTCTCCCGGGGCCCGGCGCGCGAAAACCGCGGAGTTTCGGTGCTTTCTTGGTGCTCGGAATTCTTTCTGGTGGTTCAGGTTGAAGAAGGTTGGAACATCATAGCACCAGGCGTCGTCGCCCAGTGCCTGGCCCAGCTCGAGACATGCAGGGGCTCCGGCCGTCCCAGACAAGATCGCGTCGTAACAAAAGAAACACAAACAGCACGGGCGTGGCCATGTTGCAACAACAGGCGTCGCTGCCCGCAGGGGCTCTTGCCGTGACTTCTTTTGCGACGTACTAGGGGAACGAAGCATGAACTCTGAGGTCCGCGCGGGTTTCTCGGATCGGGCGGTGCCCGAGGCGCCGCCGGGACGGTCCAGCGCTCGGATTGACCCACAAGGGAGTCCAGCGACAAATGGGTGGTGCGATAGATCTGGTGCAATAGATCTGTGGGGTTGCAATACATTTGGGGCGTGCACTGCATTCCGGGGCGCAAATGTATTGCTGGATTTTCGCGTGCAATACATTAGTTGCAATACAAAGCAATACAATTCTCCGGCGCAATACATTTGCAAGACAATTGCCCCAAATCGATTGCACCACCCCATTGCAGCTGGACCCCCTTTTGGGTCACCCAAAAGCGCGGATCCGAGGAATCCGCGCGGACCTCCGTTTTTTTGTTTAAGTCATTATTCGTTCCCAAATGTATGGCACCTCTGTCCTCGTCTGCCTCTAGGCGGCCGGGTTCGGCCGTCAATACTCTCGAAATAATGAAAACAACCGCTGTCTACGAATCCTCTTCAGCCCTCAGTCAGCCTCCTTCCTGTGTCCTGGTTAGCTCTGCTGTGTGGACAGGGCCTTATTTCTGCACTCGGCTGCAGTCAGAAGTCCAGCAGGGTAAGTCGCGCTGGTACATTACAGTGCGAGCGGTACGCTTTGAAAACTGTGAGCGCTGGCTGCTAGTTGGATGGCCGCGGGGGGTGCTAAGGGGATAGGGGGGCTACAAGCGGATGCCAAGGTTCTTCTATCTAGCGCAACCTGGCTTGTACATGTTTTACAAGTGCCCCAAGTGGCATAGACGGTATCGATAAATATGCTAAGTGGTCGGAGCCCACATCGCCTGATTCGCTAACCCCCGTAAGCCACTTGGGGCACATGTGATCCACTTACGACCCAGGTAGGGCCAGGATTCAACACCCTGGCATCCGCTTGCACCTCCCTGCTGTCCGCTTAGCAACTCCCGCGGTCATCCCAATAGGCTCCCCTCCCCCCTCCCCAGGCACCCGACGTGATGTTTTTTCGTCACATCGTGGCTCCTGCGGGAGCGTCCAAGAGGGGAGCCTCCAAGAGGGGGGGTGCAAATCATGGCCAGAGGCATGTGCGCGGACCAGGAGGGGCCAGGGAAAGTGTTGAAATAAGAAGAGGCGCCATGGAATCTGGGGAGATATCATGTCCCGTCCCAAGATATACACCCCGCCCCTAGTCATCACCCTCCTTTTGGCCGCCCCCGGCTCCGCAGAGTTCTGGACCCCTTCCTGCAGGACGCGACTTTTCATCCTGGGCCATCTTTTGTCAGCCCAGGGGCCTGGCGAGATTGCCTGCGGGCCGAACCGAGGCCGCAAAAAGGCCAACAACCTTCCGCCGTGTTTTTGTATTGTTGTCCACGACGCGAGGATGGCGGGGAAGCGCCCGTTGCTGCGATAAGACGAAGGCAGGATGAGGATACCTTTGGACGAGAATAATCAAACATCTCTGGGAGCTGACGGGTCTGGAACATGTATCGGGTGCCGCTGCCGCCCCCGAGGGCTTCAGAACGCCCTGGGAGCATTCCGCAACGCTCTGGAGCGCTCGATCCTCATCCTATGGGTGGGATGGATTCGGGCTGCGCACAGACAGCCCCCGCAGGCATGTAGTCCTGGCTGACACCAACCAGCCCCCCCCCAGTGGCCCCCGCTGGCCTCAACGGGCTCCCTGAGTCGTCCCGGCCGGCCCCAGGGCGCGGAGCGTCCCGGGGGCGCCGCCGGAGGCGGTGCCAGTGTACGCTGCGACCGCCCCGGGTCTACTCGGTGGGCCTGCCGAGGCCAGCTGCTGGGACTACTTGGGGCGCCTGTTGAGGCCAGCTGGAACTACGGCCGGGGCGGTCTGTGCGCGAGACTGCCCCGGACTGCTCGGGGGGCCTCCTGAGGTCAGCTGGGACTGAACACCTGGAGGGGCTGTCTGTGCGCAGCCCGAGGCCGAATCCTGCAGGCCTGCCTGCTGCGAGCGCGCCTCGGTGGCGCACGCGTGGGGCGTCCGGGCCCGCGCTGCCGAGGCAAACCGCCAGAGGCTCTCTGAACGCTCTCTGGTGGGCCTCGAGGCGAGTCAGGACGCGCCACTGCTTGACTGCGGGGCGTCAGGGCCCGTGGTGCTGGAGCAGGGAGGGGTCGTCGCTCACCAGCACTCGCCGGCCGCAGGCGGCGGCGGAGTCCGGGGAGGGCGGCGTCGGGGACGCGTCGCTGCGGCCCGGGGCCGGCGCCGGCCTCGCGGGCGGAGCGGGGGGCTGGGTGGAGGTGGCAGGGAGGAGTAGGTGACCGTCGCTTCACCGATGCCCATCCACACTGGCATGGCCTCGGCCCCGCTGGCCGATGTACCCCGCACGGATGGGGACATTGGCTTGTCCCTGCGAGCTTCGAGGGGCCTTCCCCCCAACCTGGGGGGGGGGGGATGGCTGGGCTGAGATATCATGGCCCAACGGAGATGGGGATAGGTTTCAACGCTACTGCATGAGGGGGGAGGAAGAGGAGGAGGAGGAGGAGGAGGAGGAGGAGGAGGAGGAGGAGGAGGAGGAGGAGGAGGAATCCAGGAGGCCCAGGTCCAGGAGGGCTGACAAGCAGCACCAGGGTCTCTTGGATTTGAGTTCCAGGTCAAGGGTGTGAGCAGTTCCAAAACGTCCATCGGGCTGGCGGGCTATTTTGGGCATCCTGGTGGGCCAGGGGATGGACCACCCTATCCAGGCGTCACAAACAATGGCGACTCCTTTTTGTGTTTTTGTTCGGCATCGGGAGGCCAATCTCCTAGCGTAGCCCCCAGGGCCGTCCGACAAACGAAGCTCGGGTGGGGCGAAAGACAGGCCCCCTGGGAAAGGATCGAGATCCCTGCAGGGGGCCGATGTTCCAATCGGTGGCGAGCGAGGGGGGGAAGTGAGAAAGAGAAGGCCTTCTCAGAAGGCGGCGGGACTTCTCAGAAGCCCTCGCGCCTTCTGAACAGTGTTTCGCGTCTTCTGGGAAGGCTTCGAAAACTTCTCACAAGGCCGGGGGACTTCCGAGCCTTCTGAGAAGGCCCGCCCCTTCTCACTCCCCCCCCCCCTCGCTCGCCGCCGAAAGGAAGGAGGATGGGGTGAAGCCCATCAGAGCACGTCCAGTTGCTGATCGCGCCTCGGGAGGAGGAGCGCGCCTGATGGGGGGGGGCCCGCGGAGGGGCCAGGGCCAACCGCCTGGGAGCGGGTTTAGGCGATGAGCAGACGGAAGGAGGAGAGGGATGCGGAGGGGAGAGGGGGGAGGGAGACAAGGGGAGGAAGGAGGACGAATAATAAGAAAAATAAGAAGAAAAATAAGAAGAAAAATGTAGGCGTGTGGACGGAGGAAGACAACGAAGATAACGACGACGACGACGACGATGGCGCAGGGGCCTCCGACAACGCCAAAAGGGGAAACACACATACGTCATAAATTTGCGTTTTGGGAGGATTCCGCACGGGTTTCTTGGGTTGGCGCTGGACACACCTCCCCTAGTGGGTCCAACGCCGACCAAGAAATCCGGGCGGGTCTCCCAAACTTGCGAGGAAAACTGGAAACGCACCTGGCTGGACTCACACACACACACACGCACACACCCCTGGCTGGACTCAAACGCACGTGGAACAAACCGGAGGCACACACACACAGATGGCATGCGGACGACCGGCGATTCATGGCCAGAGGTGAGTCGAGCGCTGGAAAGACACCTGGCCACATGTACATCCAGCTCTCGCCCAGGCCGGCCGCGTCACGTACATCCAAGTTCCCAAAAGATCCGACGCCAGGGAAGCTATAACAAGTCAAAAGCATAGCTCTATACCCTATCTTTCGAAAACATTTTTTAAGCTCGATCGACCTGCGAGGGCCCGGAGACGAGAATGGGCAGCAGCGCCCTGGGCAAAAAAAAAAAAGCCTGGCGAAGGACCCAACCATATGCAGTAGTGATTACCGCAATTGTGGGTATCGACTTCAATGGAGTTCCCTCTGGGGCGACGAAACGCTGTACTGGGCGGGGGGACCGCATGGGAACGCGCCACTGGGACCTTCGGTGGAGCTCCCTCTGGGACAACGGAACGCCGTACTGGGCGGGGCAAACGCATGCAAACTGCGCCACTGGGACCTTCAGTGGAGCTCCCTATGGGGCCCCGAAACGCTTTACTGGGTGGGGGAACCGCATGCGGACTGCGCCACAGGGACCTTCGGTGGAGCTCCCTCTGGGGCCACGAAACGCTTTACTGGTGGGGGAACTGCATGCGCACTGCGCCACAGGGACCTTCGGTGGAGCTCCCTCTGTGGCCATGAAACGATGTACTGAGTGGGGGAACCGCATGCGCATTGCGCCACTGGGACCTACGGTGGAGCTCTCCGTGTGGCAACGAAACGCTTTACTGGGTGGGGGAACCGCATGCGGACTGCGCCTTCGGTGGAGCTCCCTATGGGCCTGTGGGGCAACGAAACGATGTACTGTGTGGGGGAAACGCATGCGGACTGCGTCACTAGGACCTTCGGTGGAGCTCCCTATGGGGCTACAAAACGCTGTACTGGGCGGGGGAACCACATGCTGATTGCGACCTTCGGTGGAGCTACCTATGGGGGCACGAAGCGTGTGAGGGGTGTCCCGAAGTGAGTGAGGTAACGGAACGAGGGAGGAGGGGTAGGACGAGGAAGGAAGGAGGAGGAAGGAACGCGGGGCGCTGTCTCTTCAAAACGAGGACCCAACACCACAGGATGGTTAGGAAAAATGCGACGCCAGGATACCATGAGAGGAACAACGAACGGCAGAAACACAAACTTCAGGAGATACGCCCAGATTTCTTGGATCGGCGCTGGATCCCACTGGCGGCGCCTCCGGCGCCGCCTCTGGCGCGATTCGCGCGCCAGGGAGGGGGTGCGTGTCTAGCGCACATCGAAAACAATCGCGCGGAGCTCCGAAGGTGTGTGCTTATACATTTGCTTTCCTCCTCCCCGAGACAACGTACCCAAAACCCCGTCGACCCCCCCACAGAGAGAGCGACGGTGGTCTGGGTACGTGGCGTGCCCATGACCCATTATTTTTCACAACGTCGACCCCCAGAGGTCGCCTGAACTCCTTCCCCAAGACCGGCTTCTCCGCAACACTCGTCTTCTGACGGTCCCTGGGCGCCCGGCGAGGCCCCCCGAGGCCGAAAACGGTGACAAAGCCGCCCGCCGTGATTCTTCGTCGACGCGAGCGTGCATCGACTTCTTCCTCGCGAAAAACCCGACGGCGGCGGCGGCGGCCACCCCCGACCCCTCTCCCGCGGGGCGATCTGCCAGAATTCCGAGGCGAATACAGCCAACGGCCTGACCTAAGGAACGAGAAACAAGGAACGAAAGGAACGAAGCCCCTTTGTTTTCCGAGGAACAATGCATAAGGAACGATAAGTAATAAAAAAACGAATAACGGAACGATGGATAACGCATGCAAGCCTAGGGAACGACCGAGCCCCTTTTGAAAAGCAAGAGTTCCTTACTCAAGCCGCTCACTGTACAGCCGTGGCGACGAGGGCCTCCCAGGAGGTCCACAGAGGCGAGAACGAGGCCAGGGCAGCGGCATCGGTTGCCCCGCGGCGCGGACAGCGAGTCCTGTTCAAAATGAACAGGAACTGCTGTTGGGCATTGTACCCATTCTTTCCGTGCCCATCTCGTTCGTGCCGTGCCTTGCCTTCCAGGTCATGACTCCTCGGATGTCTCCGGCGGCCGCTTGGGACGCTTCGGGCACCCACTGAGCGCTCTCGGCGACGAGCAGCTGCTGGAGAGCGTCCCGAGGCTGGATGGCCGCCAAGGAACGACGGAAACGTCCGCAACCGACCCCACGCCCCTCACGCCCCAGGGATCCGATGTCTTGATTGTTTCACTGCGGAGTCCCTGGAAGTCTCGAGCCACCCCTGGGGACCAGCTCTTCATCCTGACTCGTCTTCGGACGGTCCTGGGGCCCGGGGAGGGCCTCCCGAGGCCGAAACGGCGAAAAACCTCCGTCTTGATTTGTTCAATTCGTTGGATCTCAGGGGTGGCCTCCTTCTAAGCATAACCGCGGTGGCGGCGTTATCGGTTGAATTTCGGTCTCCCTCTGCGTATATAGATGCCTCCCACATGGTATCTGAGTAGATGGTGTCGGAGGATCGCGCCGCATCGGCAATACATCGCCAATGCGCTGGCGATGTACCAACGACGTCGGGACTCCACATCGGGCCGCGTCGGCGTGCGATTCTCCGGCCCCATCTGCTCGGACCCTTTTTGAGCGACGATCACAAACGGGTCTCCCGCGAGATGACGCAGCGACCCTACGCCGCGGCTTACGCGGGCTGCGAGCGCGGCACGCTGCACTCAAAGCGAGGGCGCTCACGCGCGGCCTTACGCGGGTAGCTTACTCGTTTTTTGGGAGGGGTTGCTCACGTGCGAGGCCCAGAGTATAACGTTAGGTCGGGCATGTCCCCCCACAGTCGGACGCTGCAAAAAAACACATGAATCCAGAATCCCAGGGATACCCGAAAATAGCCAGATTGGCCTGACGAGAGACCCGACCATGTGATGCTGCGAGTACCGCGAGGGAGAGGAGGCGAAGGAGGGGGGGGCAGCAAAAAGGACTGCGGCGTGCACGAGGGGCAGGAGAGCTGAAGCGGGCCAGCGGGGAGTCCTCTTGGCTTCGCCGGAGCCCCGTGCGCGGGCCGTGCCATGCGGACGCTCCCGCTGGGTCCTTCGGTGGAGCTCCCTTAACCATGTGAGGGGTGCGCCGAAATGCAGCAGCGGTGCCATGCGGACGCCCCCACTGGGGCCTTCAGTGGAGCTCCCTATGGGGGCCACCAAACGTGTGAGGGGTGCTCCAAAATGAGGCGGCGGTGCCATGCGGACGCTCCCGCTGGGGCCTTTGGCGGAGCTACTTCTGCGGCCACGATCCGTGCGAGGGGAGTGCCAAAATGACGCGGCGGTGCCATGCGGACGTTCCCGCTGGGGCCTTCGGTGGAGCTCCCTATGGGGGCCACGAACCGTGTGAGGCGTGTGCCAAAATGAGGCGGCGGTGCCATGCGGACGCTCCCGCTGGGGCTTTCGGTGGAGCTCCCTATGGGGCCACGAACCATGCAACTGCTGCCACTTTGGCCTGCGGTGGAGCTCCCTGTGGTGCCACGAACCGTGTGAGGGGCGCGGCGCTGACGATGGCGATGGTGATGATCATGATGATGTGGATCATGACGATGGCGATGATGATGACGATGATGACGATAACGATGACGATGACGAGGCGGATGGGAGGAGGGAGGAGGGGGAGAAAGGAGGCGGCAGCGGGAGGAGGTGAGACGCGGGGCGCTGTCTCCTCGAAACAAGGACCCAACACCACAGGATGGCTGGGAAGAGTAGAGGCAACATCGTCCCCATGATATCTGTTGACTGCAGAAAGACAGACCTGGCTTACGCATATGACGACGGCGGCGGCGGCCTCGATGGCTGGGAAGAGTAGAGGCAACATCGTCCCCATGATATCTGTTGACTGCAGAAAGACAGACCTGGCTTACGCATATGACGACGGCGGCGGCGGCCTCTCCCACGAGGTGCGCCAGCCGTCCGGCGCCCGCCGCAGCTCCGCCTCGGCCTCGGCGCCGCCGCCCTGCAGGGGGCGCAGCGACAGGGCGCCGTCGGCGCCGCGGCAGAGCTCGCCCACCAGCGTGACGCGCGCGCCGACCAGGAGGCAGCACTCCTGCGCGAGGCGAGCTTAAGCCCCGCCGGCGTCTGCGAACAAAAACGCCTGGGGTTACATCGGCAGGAAGAGGGCGCCAGAGCGAGCCCCGCGCCCCCCACTTCCAATGCTCATCCAAGGGAGCAGACCGTGATCTGCAAATGCGGGCGTTTTTTGTTCGGAACGACTCGCACTCCCCCGCGTCGACCACCCCGAACTCTGCAATTGGGGCCGGGAGGTTGGGCCCGCTTGAACACGCACTAGAGATGGGCGCTCGTTTACAAAGACCAAGGTGCGTCTCCACCTTCCACACCTTCCGACCAGCAGGTGGCTGATCGAGCAGTTTGTCCAAGGACGAGAGAGGCGGCCTAAACACATGTTCCGAGCTCTTCGCGGGCTTCTCAGATCGGCGCTGGGCCCCCTGGCCGCGCCTCCGGCGCCACCCCTGCCGCGCTCCACGCGCTAGGGAGGGGGGCCCAGCGCGGATCCGAGAAATCCGCGCGGAGCCCCCGAATGTTGCGCCTCAAGAAAATCACTGAACCAGCCACCTGCAGGTGGGATGGTGCGGGAGGTCGAAAGCCAGGGAGTAGTATAAAAACCTCTGGGGCCACGAGGAAAACATGCTTGAGCGGCCCAAGATCGCTGAAGCCGCGTCTCTCTCTCTTGTGACATCGCGCGAATCAAAGCAGACAGCAGGACCTGAAAAATGCCGGCTGAGGGGCACAATACCTGGGGGGGGAGAATCATACATCTTTCGCCGCTGGGGGCGCTGATCCCCCCCCGAGAGAGAGAAGGACGGAAGGGTCCTCACTTCAGAATCCTGGGGCTGACAGCAGGGCGACGAACAAAACACTTGGATCCCAAACGTGCTCGCGCCGAGAACAAAAATACACACGATTGACGGACGGTTTTTGGCCGTCTTCGGCTTCCGGGGCCCCTCACTTGGCATCGGAAGCGTGAACAACTCTGCCCCGGAATGAAGAGCCGGGCCCTGCGGGAAAGGGCTGGACTTCCGGGGACGGCGCCTGAAGCAGTCAAGATCTTGGAGGCCCCCGGGTTTGATGGCCGAGGCTTGCGGGCAGCACTTCGTGCTCCCCAGCAAGCTTGCAGTGTCTATACTATCATCTGCACCTCGCCGCAGGAGAAGAGCTCAGGGGCGATTGCTTGAAGCCGTGGTTTTGATTCTGGGCGTTTCGGTCGGGGCATCCTCAGCATTCAGAACACCAGATGCACTCCTCACGCAGATCGCGACGGCAAGGTCCACAAACACATGATAATTTCTACATGTTGCCATAAAGCCTTCAAAGACACAGTGTCTTTCAATGAATTTGGACGTCGCTCATACAAAAAACAGCAGCTTTGCGCGAGGCATCCCCCCAATATGTAATCAGACGTATTTCAAGTTGTCCTCATATTCTTCAACACGACAGTTTCGCTCGAGACATCATCCGAACATTGGATTCGGAGCTTCCTTTCAACTACAATCGTGAGATGTGGCACACCCTCAAGAGCCACACACATCGCAAGGTGTGGCAACCCCACCTGCGCTCCACTGCGATCCTGCTGTTGCACCTCCTTCCCAGCAGCCCCCTGATGATCGTTATGATTATCCTTCTCTCCTTTTCCGTCTGCTCCTCCATCTCCTTCCACCTCCGCGGGTCCGACTTCATGTTCATATTCTTGCCCATGTTTTGCGATGCTTGCGTGCTGCAGCTCTTGTTTTATGGTCCTGGGCACGCACGTCGGGTCGGTGTATTTTTGTGGACCAGCGGCCGCAAGAGGACAGAGGCGGCGGTCAGCGTAGAGGCGGGACGCGCCGGCGCGCCGCGGGGAACGAGAAAGAGGAGGAAGGCGGAGGCGAGCGGAGGCGCGAGGGGGGCCTGGAGGTGCCGCGAGGGCGAGGAAGCCACACTCAGGCCATGAAGGTCTTCGTGGGCGTGCCGGAGAGCGGGTCGGTGCACGCACCCTCCTGGCTCGATTGCTGGGCCCGGGCCTTGGGCCCGGCCAGGGGCGGGGCCCGTCGGACAAGCGCACAGTGCAGAGCTGGGCGCGCTGGCGCCTCAGTGCGATACCGCGCGAGAGGTCGTGCGTGCAGTGCGGCGCCGCCTCGGGGACGGCCAGGGCGCGCAGTGCTCTGCGCAACTCGCACAGCGCCGATGCTGGCGAGACGATCGGGAACCAACGGTTCTCGGGAAACCAAAAAGAGTACCGAGACCGCAGCTCCCTGGACCTCTCCCGGGGTGCGCTCGGACCAGCATTTCGAGCCGAATCCAGCGGTGGCGACGAGGGCCTCCCAGGAGGCCGAACAAGGGGAAGACGGGCGAACACGGGGAAGCGCGAAACATGTTGCAAAGTCGTCACCGTGAAGGCGAAGCTGGCCAAGCCCATCGGGCAGGCCTCCCCCGCGAAGGCCCTCCAGGACGGGCTCTGAGGCCCCCCCTGGTCGGCGGCGTGCCCGCACCTCGTCGTGGCCATGCGATGTCGTTGGCCCCGCAAGGACTTCCGCGGTGCCCTCTCCTCGTCCGAGGCTCCCCCCTGGCGCTGCCCGGCAGGCCGCGGTGCCCGCGCGCAGTGGACGGGGCGCGTCCCCGCGCAAGGCGGGCGGGGCGCAAGGGCGCCAGCAGCGCGCGACGGGGCGGCGGCCCCACCCGCGCGCGCGGCCTCTCGCAAAGGGGGGCCGCCCACGCGGAGCGCCACGGTCGGTCCGCTGAGGAGAGGGCCACCTCGGGCCGAGGAGTGGAAGTCGAAGGAGGAGGCGGGGGAGGAGGACGAGGAGGGGGAGGAGGAGGAGGAGGAGGAGGAGGAGGAGGAGGAGGAGGAGGGGAGGAGGAGGAGAGGAGGAGGAGGAGGAGGAGGAGGAGGAGGAGAGGAGAGGAGGAGGAGGGGAGGAGGAGGAGGAGGAGGAGGAGGAGGAGGGGAGGAGGAGGAGGGAGGAGGAGGAGGGAGGGAGAGGGAGGAGGAGAGGAGGAGGAGGAGGAGGAGGAGGAGGAGGGAGGAGGGGGAGGAGGGAGGAGGAGGAGGAGGAGGAGGAGGGAGGGAGGAGGAGGCGAAGGAGGGGAGGTGGGAAGTGAGGGGAGAGCTGGCTCCGGGGGGGCGATACGTCGCCGATGGATCGGCGACAGGACCCCGATGGCGAATCCGCGAGGTTCCCGGGCAGGTCTGAAGGCGGGCCCCCATCGGCGATCCATGGGCGGTTGGGGGTCGATTCGCCCCACCGCATGCCTGTTCCCCCCCCTCCTCCTCCTCCTCCTCCACCTCCACCTCCTCCTCTCCTCCCTCCTCCTCCTCCTCCTCCTCCTCCTCCTCCTCCTCCTCCTCCTCCTCCTCCTCCTCCTCCCCCTCCTCCTCCTCCTCCTCCTCCTCCTCCTCCTGTCGTTGCCCCCGGTGCTCCCTCCGGCCGTGCCTCGGATCTGGTGCTGGGGCAGCCTGGCGCAGCCGAGGCCCGCCGCGGCCAGAGAGGCTCCCGACCCGCCCCCCCCCGCCGCCTTCCCCGTGCGGCGCGCTCCCTGCGGCGGCACGGTTAGGGGGCCACATGCGAGCCCTACCCCTACCCCCCACGACTTCTGGAGGGGGAGGGTGGGGTTCACTGAAGGGGCCCTGAGACACACAAATAAATACACACAGATAAAAGGATCCCCCATTTTTTCGCCTAATTTCTAAGTTTTTGTCTTCTCGCCACACTTCCCATATTCCTCAATCTTTTCTTGGGGATCGACGATTAATTGTGTCTGTGTGTTTTTTCCCTCCTGGTTCACTTCGCTCGGGGACCTTCGGGCGAAGTGAGCCCCGCCCTCCCCCTCGGAAATCGTGGGGGTGGGGGTAGGGGGCAGGTTTCGCATGTGGCCTCCTAACGGTGACCTTGGCACGGCGGAGACGGGTCCTGAGGGAAAGTGAGCGTTTTTTTCAAATAGATTCGGCGTTTCGACAGTGGGAGGAAGGGGGGGGAGGGGGGGGGGTCTGGCTCCAGACCTCTGCTTGATGCAACTGTCTGCAAAAGGCCCGCTCGAAACAGGCGCCCAACACACAACCAACATCTGCTCCATGGCGGGGTGGAGGGGGAGCTCGGGGGTCCGCGCCGATCCGCAGAACAATGGATACCAAGCACGATTGCAAAACGGGCCCTGGGCCTCGGGGCCCTGCCCCAGGACAAGCTGTCGATCCCGGGCCGTCTTCTGACGGCCGCCAGAGCCCGGGCAGGGCCCCGCGGGCCCGAAGACGGCAACATAAAAAAACCTCAGGGCCCGTTGCCCTCGAGACCCGCCTCCCCCCTATAGGGCATGCCCGCCTGCTGCACGCATGTGGCCCGCGCATGGGCTGGCCGCCGCACGTCGGCTAGACGTAAGAGTGTGTCTGGGCAAGAGTGACCTTTGGTGCACAGCTTTTGGGGGCGCGAGGGAGCCAAACCCAAGGGCGCGGGCCGCTTATATCGCATCGCGCTCGGCGATCGGGGGGAGCCCGATGAGCCCGCACCAAAGGTCACTCCGGCGAAGGGTCACTCTTACGTGTAATCGGGCACACACACACACCCTCCAATGGGAAGAGGCTGGACCGGCACAGGGCCGTGGAGCGGGGGCCGTGTTCCGCGGCGCGCACGAGGGGGTATGGGGGAGGGGGGGAGGCTTCTTAGAAGCAGGCTGCTTCTTAGAGGGCGTCGGCCCTGCATCGAATAGAGAAGGCCTGCGCCTGCTAAGAAGCAGAGGTGCTCCCAAGAAGCCTCCCCCCCTCCCGCGAACCCCAGTCTGCGCGGTGCCGACTTTTGTGCAAACATGGCATCCCTCGGGGGCACGACTTTTGCACCTCACCCCCACGAACAAGCTGGTCCGGCACAAAGTGCGCGCGCGGAGACTGTGGCCATACGGGGATGGACAGACCCCCCTTTAGTAGAACGTGGTTTAGTGAAGACGACCTGAGGCCAAGACCTGGCGGGCGCAAGCCTGGAAAATATGGCGGCCACGGCGCCCCCTCGAGAACCGAAAACGGACCATTCACGAATCGACGTGTCACTGTTGGGGGTTCTGTCCACCCCCGAGCCCCCCGATGGCACGGCCTCCTATTCCTCCTCCTCCTCCCTCCTCCTCCTCCTCCTCTCTCCTCCTCCTCCTCCTCCTCCTCCTCCTCCTCCTCCTCCTCCTCCTCCTCCTCTCCTCCTCCTCCTCTCTCCTCCTCCTCCTCCTCCTCCTCCTCTCCTCCTCCCTCCTCCTCCTCCTCCTCCTCCTCCTCCTCCTCCTCTCCTCCTCTCCTCCTCCTCCTCCTCCTCCTCCTCCTCCTCCTCCTCCTCCTCCTCCTCCTCCTCCTCCTCCTCCTCCTCCTCCTCCCCTCCCGTTGCCCCCGAGCCATACGTCGGCCCCCGATGGCGCGGCCGCCGCTCCTGGAACTCGAGCGCGGAGGCGTCCGCGCGCAGGGCCGAGCTCGCCTGCCAGCCCCCCCGCTCGCCCGGGCCCGGCGAGGCCGCGCGGTGCGTCAGCACGAAGTCCTGCCAGTGGTCGGGCGCGTCCGCGAACGTCCTGGGCGCCGAGTGGGGCGTTGCACGCAGGACGAGGACGAGGACGGCGCCGATGGTGCCGATGTTGCCGATGCCGATGCCGATGCCGATGGTGGTGATGATGATGATGATGATGATGATGATGATGATGATGATGATGATGATGATGATGATGATGATGATGATGATGATGAGCTGGTGATGATGGTGATGATGATGATGCCGATGCCAAAGAAGATAATGATGACGACGATGATGATGCTGTTGATGCTGCTGATGATGAGGATGCTGTTGAGGATGGTGATGCTGTTGATGCTGCTGATGATGATCACCGCCGATGTCAATGCAGATATCGTTGCCGACGTCGTTGCGGATGCCGATGCTGCTGATGATGCTGATGATGGTGGTGATCATGGTAATAATGATGAGGATGAAGCTGCTGATGCTGCTGATGGGAATGAGGATGATGGTGATAACGATGATGAGGATGAGGATAAGGATGCTGGTTATGATGGTAATGCTGATGATTGAAATGCTGCTGCTAATTGTGATGCTGCTGATGATGAAGAAGAAGATGATGTTGAAGATGATGAAGATGATGCTGCTGTTGTCATGGTGCAGCCGGCTCAGGATACGCGTGCCTTCCAGAAATTCCCGGGTAACTAGCAGCCCTCGCTTCTGGAGCCCGTGCGAGGCAGCAGGAGATCTTCGAGTCGGCTTGAACGCCTGGGAGATCTTGGAAGCATGGCGCACGACCACATCACCACCAAGCCTGCCTGCCCAGGGCCACCCTGGGCCCTGGCACGGTGTGCGTGCCCTACTGGCCGAAGCGATGAGGATCTGCAGGCGCCATCCTGGAGCCCCGGGCGGCACTTCCCGGGCACACGGTGGTGTGTACGGGCGCCGCCATGCAGGGTCCTGCGCGTCCTCGTCTGCCCCTCGCGCGCGCAGAAGAGGGAGACGTCCCCGCCGTCTACCTCGATGCGGACCTGGGGAAACCACCAAAAAATACCGATGCCGCCACTCCAGGGACCGCTCCCGGGGTGCGTTCTGACAGGGACTTCGAGGCGAGGCCAGCCGCGGCGGCACGGGCCTCCCAGGAGGCCCAGAAAGGCGAGTACGAGGGCCAGGGTGGCGGAATCGGTATACTGATTTTCCCTCGTCGGAAGACCTGGGGGTCGTCGGCGAGGGTGACCAGGAAGCGCTGGCTGCCGGAGGCGAACGCCACAGGCACGGGCAGCGCCCCGTCGTGCAGGCCGCGCGACGCCGATGCCGAGTAGAGCACGCAGCACCGCCGCGACAGGGGTGCCTCGAGGGCGGCCGCCCCGCGCGCGGGGGCGGCCACCATGGCCTCGATGCGGAGGCGCCGGCGGGAGCTCGCCGGCACGGCGATGCTGCAATCGAACCTCAGGGCCCAGACATCGAGCGTCTCGACATTGTGGAGTCCACAACCCAGAAAGCACGGCGCCAGAGGGGCGTGGAAAGGCCTGTCGAAGAACCCTGGAAGGACCTGGAGAGAGCTTCCGAAGGACCTTCTGGGGAGCTTCCGGGCACGCGTACTGGGAAACGCTCAGAGAAGACCTCTTGGTGGTCTCCAAACCAGGTGGTGAGACACCCGGTGGTGACCCCGTTTCTCCAAAGAAATAATTCTGGGTCACCACCGGGTTTGGGGACACGCGATCGCCACGAGGTTTTGCGTTTCCTGGGCCAGCCAGCGCTCGAAAACCATTACCCAAATCGCCCAAAACTCACACCGTTTGGGGACCACCAAACCTCTCGGGACACGCTGCGACCTCTCGGGACACGCTGCGACCTCGAGCAGGGCGCTGCGAGGTGTTCTGCCAGAAGCCGTCACGCCCTCCGGGGCTAACCTGCGGCTCCGGCTTCTTAGTCTGAAGCCCCCTTCGTTCTCTGCGAGCTATCCGGGAAAAACCTCGACGGAGGTGGTTCCTTGTTGCTGGCCTTTGGGGCCCTTTACCAAGCCTCGGGACCGCCAGCAGGAGCTCGGGACGAAGAGCGACTCGGGCTGCAGTCGAACCTTCCGAGGACGCACTCGCCCGCCTCCTTCGAAGGCCCCCCCCCCTCGCGCCACCCCCTCTGGCGCGCCGCCGACCCACCAAGAACCCCCCCCCCGAAGACCTCCCCGCACGGTCCGCCGCACGGTCTTGGGAGCCCTGGAGGCCCCGGTCGCACCAGGCGTCCTCGCAGAAGGGCACGAGGCCCCAAGGGCGTGCGGCCACCACGACTGCCCACCCTGACCTTCCAGAGAGCTATTTTTAGCACGGGAAGCTTAAAAACCTAATAAACGAAACGAAACAGCCTAAAACCAAGACATATAATAGCTCTGGGATAAGTTTTTAAAGTCGCGTGCTATTTTTAGCCCTCCTGGAAGGTCAGACACTGACGCGCCGCACGCCTCGGGGGGGGGGACGCGCGCGCCCGCGTCGGCCCGCACCCCGGTCGGCCAGGACCCCTGCTCGCGAAGCCCGGCCGGCCGCGCAGCAGCTCCCGAAGAACCCTGGGGCCAGCGGAGCAAAGGGGGTGAGCGCACTCAGATTTGAGTTTCCAACAAAATGAGTTTCAGATTCGTAAAACATAGTATTCAATTGATATTGTGTGAAATTCTAAGCATTGCAGATTCAATATTCATGCAGAATCATGCGCAACAGATAATGAGCCAAACAAATGTATTAAAAATATGCGTGAGGGGATCGGCTGGCACCCGTTGGCGCTGACCCCCGTGCCGCGAGCCCCGAAGCTTACAAGACCCCGACCCCCGACGCCATGATTGGTTGTCATGGCGTCGACCCCCGGAGGTCTCGACCCCTTCCCCAAGACCGGCTTCTCCTCCCGACTCGTTGTTTGACGGCCCCGCGGGCCCGGTAAGGGCCCCCCGAGGCCAAAAATAGCGAAGCACCTGCCGTCGCGATTTGTTTGTGGTGACTCGAGGGGGTCTGGGGACGAGGGCGGGGACTAACTCGGATCGGGATGAATCGGGGATCTCTGAGATTTGGCGGTTCTGGAGGATGTCTCGGGGCGCCGCGGCCGTTCCAGAGCGCCCAGCGCTCGCGGGGACGCTGTATCTCCCGGCAGCCCCGCCCGAAACCTGGCGCTGGCGCCGTCGGCGAGGCAGCCCTGCACCTCGTGGGGGAGCCAAACAGCTTACCATCGCTCGGACGTCTATTCGCTGTGTATTTTTGTCGGTCTCGTGCGTGGTTTTTTGCCCAAATGATCAAGGATGCTCCTCGATGGTCCTCGCCGAAGGAAGAATGCACACGTGCGAGCGATGCCAAGAACAGAACAAAAAAAGAAAACTGCACCGAGGTCCCGCTGCTTCCCCCGGACCTCTCCGAGGAGTGCGGATACCTGGCCAGGACCTCCCGGCGGCCGCGGCGACGAGGGCCCCATGCAGGAGGCCCCCCACGCGAGGCCGCCCCGCACGGCGCCGGGGCAGACCAGCAGACGGGCACTGCTCGACTCGCTCCAAGGCGGGGTCGGCGGAAGCCCCGACCCTCTCCCCAGAGCCCCTTTTTTTGCGGGCAATAGTTATATCCACATCCAGTGCGTCTTGGAGTCTTGGGCTCTCTTCCCCAGAAACCGTAGACGCACTGGATATGGATAAAAATCTGGCCCCAAGAGGCTTGATTCTATCCATATCCAGTGCGCCTCGGCGTTGCGGCACCTCTGCCCGAAAAGTCCAAGACGCTCTGGATATGGAAATAAGTGCTGCCCGCATGTTTTTTGTTTCTTCCACAACGCCGTTGTTTTTGTTGCTTCCTCCAGAGCCGTCTTGTGGCTGGTCCCCGGGCCCGGCGAGAGCCCTCGGAGGCCGGGCACCGCCAAGCAGAGACCTTTCCGTCGTGAGCTTCTTGCCCCACGACACCTCGATTCCTGCTCGTCCTCCTCTTCCTCCTCCTCTTCCTTCTTCCTGCTCGTCCTCGTCTTCTTCCTCTTCCTCCTCTTCCTCGTCCTCCCCTCCTCTTCCTCCTCCTCTTCCTCCTCTTCCTCTTCCTTCTTCCTGCTCTTCCTCGGCGGGCAGGTCTGGGGGAAGGCAGGGGGGATCGGCACGGAACCGCCGCGGCCGCGGCCGCCGCTGCCACTCCTGGACCGCAGACGTTCCCGAAAACGGCTGGGGGCGCTCTTCTGCTTCGATTCCGTGCTCAACTTGTCGTGTTGCGGTTGGCCACAGCATAACGGAAACGGCAAAGCAAAACGAAAACAAGCATCACGAAAGCGACACCGGAGAGGTCTGGGGCCCAGGCCGCTCTCCAGGGGTGCCCTTCTGGCCGCGGGGTCTCGAGGCGGACCTTGCCGTCGCGACGGGCCCCCCCCCGCCAGGAGCCCCCAAGCGAGGCAGCCAAGACGGGTAGCTAGCGGTTCCGGGAGCAGCACGAGCATGCACCGCGAGTGTGCGGGGCTTCGCCCGAGACGTACTGCACATACGGTCGAAATCTCGAAATAGAAAACTGTGCATCAGCAACGCTCCGACGACAAAGAGCCGAATTCTCCCCCCTCCACCCCCTGGCCTTCATGATGGAATGCATTGCGATCGAGATCTTGGGTTTAATTTTTCTCTGGCCGCTCACCTCTGGGACCAACTGGTCAATATTAAGGCAGGGGGGTTGCGGGGGGGTGTATTCGAAGTGGCCCCCCAACTCTTGATGCACAGTTTTTTCCTTCAACGGTATCTTGGTGATCGTCTCACGCTCGCAAGCCTGCCCCGGAGAATGTCCTCTCGACTGTGCGCGATGGCGGTTTGCGATCGTAGTCTGATGGTCATGAACCTGCTCCGTCAGATGGCGTGTTCTGGCCAGAATATCGGGGCGGATCTGGCGCAGTCGCGACGCCTGCGCACCCGCCCCCCCCCAAGGGGAGGTCCCAAGCGAGGCCCCAACGGGGCTAGTGTGGCGGTGTACCCAGAGATTCCATGCCCTGTTCCCAACCATCCTGTGGTGGTGGGTCCTCGCTTTGCAGAGACTGCGCCCCGCGTCCTCCTTCCCTCTCCTCCTCCCTCCTCCCTCGGATCACTCTCTCCTTCCCGGTACATCTTCCTTCCTCCTACCCCCTCCTGAGTGGCAGAGTGCCCAAAACACGGCAGTCGATCCCGTGTACGACCCGTTGCCTGCCCAGCTGCTTGATTTGAGGAGGGGTGTTTCGGTGAGACGGTTGTGGGCATGGTGGGGAACGGATCAGCAGTTCAGCCGGATTGTCTCGCACTGCTAGCTAGCACCTTGCGCTATGATGCGCAGATAACCAGTGTTCTTGCCGTCGTCGTCTAGTCCCTCGTGCAGGGCTGGGGTGCGAAGATCCTTCCCGCTCCCACTACCACTGGGGTCACACCATTGAGCATGACCGCAGACAGTGTAAATCGGGAGTGCTCTCGCTGGTTCCGACGCCCGTCGTTCGGCCAGGCGCCCGTCCAGCTCATCTGTGCTCGCGAGGCTCGGAATCCGACTTGTCCGTTCTTCGCTTGTCTCGCACAGGAAGAGGAAGCGAGTCGCAGGCAATACGTCTGAGTCACAACCTCTTCACTGCCTCTCGTGCCATACTTGTTTGTTTCTTATTCTTCTTCTTCGTTCCTCCCTCCCCGTCCTGAGTGGCCGAGCGCCGAAGCCACGGTGGTCGTTCCTGTAGGAGCTCGCATGCCAATTTGTCTGCCCAGAACCATCCGTCGACGCCGCCTTGACCCGATGCCGGCCAAGCTGCTTGATGTGGAGGTGGGGGTGCTTGGGAGAGCGGGGAGTGGAGGATCTGGGCTGGACTTGCTCCTTCCCAAGCCTCGGCGCTTCCGGACGACGCGTCCCATCGGTTTCGTCGCTGAGGTTTCTTTGTGCTGCTCTTAGAGCTCTGTCTCGGCGCCCGTGCCGAATGTCCACGCCAGTGTTTTCCTCGGTCAGACCCTGATGTGGATTGTTTGGGGTCCAGCTCCCGCTTCGGTTGGCGAGCTGAGTGCTGTCTCCTGACCAGCCAGCGTTTAATCAAATACGCAATCCAGCAACACAAATCCTCCTCCCTCCTCCCTCCTCCACCTCCGCATGTCAATTTCGGCACACCCCCTCACACGCTTCGTCGCCCCGCAGGAGCTCCACCGAAGGCCACAAAAATCAGGGTCTGCATGCCTGGTCCACGCCATTTCAGCGCACCCCTCAAACGTTTCGTGGCCCCATGATGAGCCCCACCTCCGAAGGCGCAAAAATCAGGATCCGCATGCCTGGTCCACGCTATTTCGTCGCACACCTCACACATTTCGCGGCCCCATAAGGAGCTCCACGTAAGGCCAACAAATCTGGGTCCGCATGCTTGGCACACGCCATTTCGGCGCACCACTCAAACGTTTTGTGGCCCCACAAGGCAGGAGAGCCCATAATCGAATCGATAAGTCGGATCGGCGATCGAAATGAATCGGATCGGCGAAAATCGGCAGCCGAGTCGGGAAAAGTCGGATCGGCGGAAATCGGAAAGCTACTATGCGTCCCATAAGAAGTCGGAATCCGAATCGGAATCCCAAGTCGAATCGAATCGGAATCGGAAGCCATCGAAATCGAATCGAATCGAATCGGAGGAGTCGAAATGAGCCCTGACAAGGCGCAAATATCAGGATCTGCATGCCTGGTTCACGCCATTCTGGCGCACCCCTCAGACGCTTCGTGGCCTCGTAGGGAGCTCCAGCAAAGGCCAAAAAACCTAGGTCCGCATGCCTGGTCCACGCCATGTCGGTGCACCCCTCACACGTTTCATAGCTCCATGGGAAGCTTCTCGTAAGGCCAACTAATATGGGCCCGCATGCTTAGTCCATGCCATTTCGGCGCATCCCTCACACATGTCGTGGCCCCATGGGATCTCTCCACCTTAGGCCCCCCCGCATGTTGCCCCCCAAAGCAGCGCCGACAAACGCGCAGATCAGCCGTAACGGGTTGCATCCAGATGCAACCCGTTACGGCCGACCTCGGCGACCCCATCAGCAACGTCGATCCGTCCTTCCCACGCACGCCTCAGTCCGTTTGCTCGCCCCTTCCCATTTCCACCTGTTTCGCGGTACTCGCAGCTGCATCTGGTTGGGTCCTTCGCCAAGCTAACTTCTCCCAACCATTATGTGGTGTGGAGTCCTCGTGTTGAAGAGACAGTACCTCGCG